AAAATTAGAATTCTAGGCCTAAAGTATGTTTTACTGTACCAGCTTTTAAAGACTCATGAAATTTTACACATAACATCTGTGTGTAAACGTTTCCTCATTAAAAATAAAGTTGTAAAGCCCTCATTGACATAATGGAACTGAGTTTAAACCACTTTAATTTTTTTTAACGTTTATTTATTTTTGAGAGACAGAGAACATGAGCAGGGGGATAGCAGAGAGAGAAAGGAGACACAGAATCCAAAGCAGGCTCCAGGCTCCGAGCTGTCAGCACAGAGCCTGATGCGGGGCTTGAACTCACAGACCGCAAGATCATGATCTGAGCGGAAGTCAGGCACTTAACTGAGCCACCCAGGCTCCTAAACCACTTTAATTAAAACACTTTCTTTGAATTGATAAAATGGCACTGGCTGGGGAGGGAGCTTAATTATGAACCAGCAAATAGAAAACCATGGGTAGAGAATATAACCTGTCCTTCTTTCTGGAACTGGCCTTGGGGTAATTATTGGTGTCTAGGACTTCTTTATGTACTGCATGTTTCTCCTAAGTTTGACCTACATCTCAGTCAGGGTTCTTTGCCTGGGTCCGGGGATAGTGTGACCCAAACAATCAATGGCCTGGGTGGTATTACAGGTGTCTTTGGTTTCTGTTTACCATTTACCATTGTGCATGACAACTCAAGGGTGTGGACTGTCCATAACCCTCCCAAGCCCCATTATTCAGCATCAACTCTATTCTTGTCTGTCAGGATCAGCTACTGTGGCTTTTTTATCCCTCCAGTGGCATGGGACATATGGAACAGAGAGCATTTGACCTTCACTGCACCCATTATTATTCCTGATTGGAAGACTTCCTCCAGGATTAAGACCTTTACACAAGCATAAGTCAGAATTGAGAAACTAACAATTCTGAACATGGGACATTATACCCAGACGTGCCAGATAGTACAAGGAAATGCCCTAACCATAATGTCTTTCCAATAACTACTGTAAAACCTTCCCCCTTTTTAATAAAAAGTTTATTTGAGAGAGAGAGAGGGAGAGCAGGGGAGGGAAAGAGATGGGGGGGGGAGAGAGAGAGAGAGACTGGGAGAATCCCAAGCAGGCTCCATGCTGTCAGCAGAGAGCCCTAAGCGGGGCTCAAACTCACAAAACTTGAGATCATGACCTCAGCTGAAAGCAAGAGTCAGATGCTTAACTGACGGAGCCACCCAGGCACCCTATCCCTTTTTAACTTTATAAAACCATTATATTTTTCCTTTCTTTCTTGCTTTTTTTTTTTTTTT